ACGCTCTTCACATGTCTCCACAGGCCATTTAGTAGCACCTCCAAACACATCAACGTTGTTATCAACCCAGGGTATGATGTTGCCAGGCATGTTGATAGAGCAGTTAGCAATATTCATGATGTCTTCAGCTTTTAAGACCCTGTCCCATATATTGAACTGGCTCATCTCCCCAACGAAGGCTTGAGTTGCATCAAATCTTCCTCCTACTGTGTCCTTTAGGCACACAAGAGTTAGGATTAGATGAGAAGGTTATTTCAGCATTTTCTTCAAACTCGAAGACCCTCTCCCCCAGCCACACTGCTAGAAGGAGGCACAGAGCTAGGTCATAGAGATGAACAAATGAGTTTCTAAAAGGGCTACTTTGAACAAGATGTTTTACAGAACAGTGAAAAGCTCCAATCTGAAATGTGTCAAAACAATTAAAAGCAAGAAGTAGCAACCATATACCATCACACAAAGGCTTATACATAACCAAGCAGTAGAGCAGGAAGGCAGCTTAAAATGTTGTAGCTAATTTAGGAGCCGTTTTTCAAGCTTGGCACAGGACAACTTCAGCAAGAACTGTATAGATGTGCAAGATTACTCCAAAAGCTTTATGGCTATAGATTAAACTGTAACTGCAGCCCTTGACAAGTTCCGCAGGGCCTGTAAGACAGCATCTTTGGATCTAAACAAAAAGGCCAAATTACTAACTCAAACTGCTGCGACATAAGGCTAAAAGTGATTGTTTGCTTCATTCACTACTCAGGGACAGAAGCCACACATTTTGTGCTAACACTAACATAAAACTGATAGCATAGTGTAGAACTACGTACAGTACAAGTAAATGGTATGAAAGAGTTACAGAAAAGCTGCCAGCCACTTAATAGTGAGCTGGAGCACCTGCTATATAGAATTGTTATTTATGAAGTTACCACTCTGTAATTTATGTCATTGATCAGTATCTACTACAATCAGTACCAGGACAAAACTCATTTGTCATTGTTCCACTGTGAACCTGGAAATCCCAGAAAAAGGCTACTCCCTGCTACTTATAACAATATTAATATTATTTTTTTTACTATATGTATAGTCATAAAAAGAACAGGTAGAGGAAAAAAGTGAAGAGCAGCACAATTTGCAGGCAGTAGCTTAATGAGATGTTGACTAGAAGAGTGAGATTCAAAATCCTTTGGGGTTGGTTTTTTTTTCCAGTTTTCAAAATTACTTATTCTTAACCTCATGAATACTTTCTACCAGCAGCATTAATATTCAAACTTGACTAGTATTTGCATTAGGAGACTTATTTACCTACATCTTTACTGAGAAATCAAACATCTGATTTGGAGTTCTTCCCTTTGACTTCAGACTCATTTTTAAAAGTCAACATCAAATTCTGAATGCGTGAGGCTCCACTATTCTAAGCATGTTACATACCTGAAAGGATGCAGAACTCAGTCTGGAGGGAGTTCTCCATAGCAGGCCCAATTATGAAAGATCCTGATATACCCACAAGCACTTCAGTGCCCTGTAGCTGTTGGCCCCCTCATGCCCATAAACATATTTTCCTTGGTCTATTCTGGGACTCAAGGACTAACACTTTAACTATTCTTGGAATAAACCAGTAAGCTGCTAAGGGGAACAGTCAATTTGGCTTCAATTAAAAAAAAAAGTAACAAATCAAAGCCACTGTACTTGGTGCACTTGCAGCAAGCTCCTTTTTGACTGCTCATACAACAGCAACTTCAGAGGCCACGTTGCTAGTTAGCAGCAATCCAGCTCAAAGGATTTAATTTAAGGCATTATTCAGATCACTGGCACAGTTGCACACTGCAGCATTAAGAGCCAAAATGGGAATAGCTGCAACATCAATATTCTGAATATTTAATAACTGGAATAATGTGTGATTGCATTAAGTATTTGTTGCTTTGTTTCACTCTTTCCAACACTGCATATACAACAGGACAAAGTTTTTGAGAAAGAGACATTTTCTCTTACCTGCTGTTTGTCTGGGGAGCTTTGATTTTTTTTTTTTTTTTTTTTTTTTTAAACCCTGGAACACAGTCATTCACTCACCTGTTCCTGACCCAGGATCAAGATACCACCAGGTTTAATAGGGTGCCAAGGAGCAAGATTCTCCCCTGTACCAAGCTTCTCTCCATCCTGAAAAGCCTCCCACATTCCATCTCTGGTTGTCCATGTTATACAAATATGATGCCATTTTCCATCACTAACGAAGAGAGGGAGCTGGGCAACCTACAAAAAACAAAGAACATTGCATGTTGCAAATCAAGTCTACCAGTTCAAGCACAACACTTAAAGAGGGACAGTATTTTCTCAAAAGCAAGAACTTCAGAGGTAGAGGTTAGTCCACAACTTTCCACTTTGTCCCAGCTCTCCTGCATTCAGGAATACAGCCATGTCTTTTATCTCAAATGTGAGCCTTTGTTTCATCTAGAATCAAGTGACAAGTACCAGAATCTAAGATGCTATCAGTCCACTGATCCTGAATACTAATCTGCAGCATTTGTTGTTTAAATATCAGTGCTTAGTCCTAACTTTCCACCCAGTTCTCATGTTACATTTCTCTTAAAACCTTTTTTTGGTTTGTTGGGGTTTTTTTTGCAGTTTTGACTGCACCATTTACAGTAAAAACTGATAAATGGATCTGCTTGCTTCTAGTAAAAAATGTGGGAACTATAACACAGAGCTCCAAATAAAGGAGGAATTATGCTCCTTTAGGCATTTAATCTGAAAATTTACTCAAGTCAACATAAAGACACAAATGCTACAGAGCAGCTGTGATATGGGAGAAAGAAAAGCCTCACAGAACATTAATAATACTGAAGAGAGAAAGTTATTGCTAAGGATAAGCCAACTTAAGTTTCCTTCTCTTCCCCAAACCATTAAAAATAATTGGCTTTTCACTTTTATTGATTTGGGAAAATGATAGGGCTATTAAAAGTCCTTAACTAGCCACATGACTGAACCACTAAGTTGTGTTGTAGATCTGTAAACACCTGATCCCTCAGAGAGCAGCATGTTACTAGGAAGCCTAATTGAAGATGAGGATAAAGGAGCTATTTGTAATCTGGTTTAATGCCAAATTTCAATGACTTGTTTTCCTCAAGCCTCATTCTGAAGGTTGTCAGAAACCTGGAGTATGAAGTAGTGTGAGACAGTTGTTGCTTTTACTATCTTAAGTCTGAAAAAAATGCATTTAAACTGATGTTCAATCACTAAGCATAACAAAACCACCCACAATTACATGCTTTTTGCTGTCTTCTGCAAAATTCATTTTAACATATCTGAACTTCTAGGATTAGAAAGATGGAAATATTGAAACTGGTTTAGATCTCACAGGTTTTACAATAGTGTGACTTCAAATATTGCTTCTGTTTCACAAAACAGAAAAAAACAAAAACCAAACAAAAACCCTAACAAACAAAAAACACAAAAAAAGCAAAACAAAAAACAAGAAGCCAAGATCTGCTTGTAAATTCAGAAGACACACATAAGCATGTGTACATCTAGAGGTCATGCTTTTTTGTCTCAACACACAAACACATGTACCATTTGACTTTGTCTTGAGTACTCTTGTGAACTTGAAACAAACAGATGGATAGCAACAGACAAGTTGACCCTACCATCCCAAAGACCCAGAGCTGGCTTCTCTCACAGAGAAAGAAGTTGCTAGAGAGAAACCAAGGGTTCCAGCCTTATTCTGATGAGGAAGGCAATAAAGAAGAGTTAGTCGATTCTCACCTTATCATTAATTAGCAGTTCAATTGGATTATTCCCCCATTCTATAAGGACAATTTCATTAGCCTGTCCAGGAACAGCATAGGAGAATGGAGTGCCAATTCCAGGAGAAGCACTTGATCTCAGCCACAAGCATACAGTAAAAGCATACAGCTCTGGCAGGGTCTTCTTGATCTTCCCATACAAGTAGTTTGTACGAAGAGGAAGGGAGACTTTGAATTCATCAGGTGACTTAAATGCACTGTTACCTAGAATTACATTGAGGAAGAAAAACCCCTACCATTAAACAAAACAATGTATTTGTAATTAAGCTTAAGAAACAATATAATTCATGTTGAGAATCTTTGGAATTGTAACCAATTTAGGTTAAAACTATTGCAGTAGTATTACTGAACGTTGATTTTGCAACACAGAAAAATGCAACTGGATGTTATACACATCATGTTAATGTTATAAATGACATAACTAATGAGAGGCTGTTATGTAATTTCTTTTTTAATTGCTTAGCTCATGACTGGAGGACTCCCTGTTTCAAACAACTCAAACTGTTTTAACAGATATTTACTGTTACTAAATATGGACTCTCTGGTATGCTCATTATTAAAGCATTACAGTGCTTCAAAAAATAGTATTTCTTTGCCTACTAATGCTACACACTGAGCTAGCAGCAGCCACTCCATTTCAGAGATAGTAGGCTGAGAAATAGGTTTACTGTCATTTTGGGTTGCCAATCTGAAATAAGAAAAAGTTGACATATTCCAGAAAGCAGAGTTAAATTCAGTAGAACTCATTTCTGTTCCACAGACAAATGAGGAGGAGGCCTGAACAAAAACAAAGCTGAAGTTCAATGTGACCTGAAGAAAAATGCAATATAAAGTTAATAAGTATAACAACAGATGTATGTTTTAACATAAAAGCAGAAATTAATATTTAACTTTTTCTAAAATATATTATATAAACCACTGAGATATTCCAGAGATGTTCGTGAAATTGGGAACTCTTAAGCCAAAAACTTTCTCAAGTTGCAATATTCTGTATTATATAGTTTGTGTATACTTCTGATGTAATTGCTTACATGCTATTTTCTAGAATTGCATATTAAGGGAAATATCACATTATGCCTCAAAAAAATCCCACAGTCCTACAGTAGTGTCATTTTCCACAATTTAGCAACCTGTTCTTCCAAGTTCTACTTATTTCCTTTGCTCACACTTCTGAAAGAAGTTCAATTCCCTTGCCAAACTTCACACTCCAATCCAAATGAAGAGCTGTTGTCACAGAAGGTTGCCACAATTCTCATTTGTAATTTTTAAACCATTTGCATTCTCGCTGTTCCCATTCTCAGAAGCAACTGAAGTGTTTTGACTGAGTTTTTCACAGAATGAGGGGGTGGAAGAAAAAAGCTTGTCTGATGCTTGCATCCATCTTGAGGAACTTACAGACCAAAAACTGAAATATTTTAAATTCTAAGCAAAAAACCCAAACAAACAACCTCAGGGTCTTAGGGCTAATGTTGAGCAACCTCCACTAGGCTGGTACAACACATATAAAACAAAAGAAACATAGTCTATTAAAAGCATTAGTCACTGTGTGAAAGAACTTAGGGAAGCAATAATGGCTTGGAAAAGAATAAAAAACATCAATATTTTTTATATTTTTCAGTATGTTCTCATGACTTGAAAACATGCACAACTCCAAATGACAAGAATCACATTTAAGTCCAGGGAAAAAGAGTCATTCCTCCACCAAGTCCTGATTATTTAATGCATCATTTACTGCTGTTGGTGGAGACAACCAGTAAAGGAATTGCCGTAAGACTTTGAGAATCACAACTGCTGTACAAACTTCAAACTCTGGTAACCAAACTCCCACTGGCAACTAAAGGCAGCTGTCACAACTACAGACCATAAAAACTTGAAGTTTGTAGTGTCAAAGTTCACCTTATAACTTCACTTTCTTCCTCATTTAATCTCAGGACAATGAGGAGTTTATGACACACTAGTTAGTTGGCAGGAAGAGATCCTAAACAATATGGCATTAAAAAAAGCACAATAGAAATACTATTTTCAAAAAAGCTCAGATCACTTCAAGTATTGTCTGCATTCAGTTTACAAAATAATTAAGTTGTTAGATCATTATCACCCTCACTTTGATTTCAGGGAAACAAAAGGCACAGAACAGCTAAACTGAACTGTAATAGAGAGCAAATTACACAACTAAAAGAAAGCATGTGTCTTGGTTCCTGTCCCAAATTCTTCAATTCCCTGAAGACTTTAAGACGGACCTCTCTCCTCATACAAAAAATGAAGGTGGGAACAGGCTGTTTTTAACCTAAATTACACATTCTTGTTCTCCCACCACTCTCTGTGTCTGATGACTTGCTGATATGACTCACATCTTTCAAAGACAAGGACTAGCCATACTTGACACAAGACATTAACAGGCCATTAAATTCTCCAGAATTTTAGTTGCAGTTTAGGCTTTGTCTAAATGACAGAGCCAGTAGAATATCTTTTTCCTCCTTCCCTTCTCCTCTCCTTCACACTTTTTAAATGAAGCAGACACAATATTACACAAATGGATCCATTAGGCTGCATTTTAGAATTAATGAGATATGCTCATGTTTGCACCATTTTAAAAGCATGCCCATTATGCTGCTTTTAAGCAGAGGACCTGTTCACCTTGGAAAATCATTTAAAGATTGGGCAGTGATATTTACAGGTACTCTAGTCCTACACAGTCCACTCTGAGGGAATATATAGTCAGTAAAGAAAGATAGTTCTGTTCTTTAGCTCATTTCCACAGGCACCGCAATTCAAATAAACAGACTTGACTCAAGTATGGATCTCAGTAATAATTTATCAAAGTACCTGAATAAATGACTAGGATTAAAAGAGTACCCCCCAGTAGCATTATGTGTAGCCTACTGTAAACTCTGAAAGTTATTGCTCAGGATAGGACACAAAGTCTGTGCAGCTACCCAAAGCCATAGGCAGCAACAGCAGGAAGGACCACCAGCAGGAAATGCTTCCAGTATAAAATGCTATTAATTACAAAGGCAGTTGTGCTAATTAAATTTAATCCAAATTGCCTTTAGTCCAAATAAAGACAGGCTTAGATGTGTACTTGACATTACCTAAGTATTTACCTGACACTAATGTCATACCTCTTCCTATTTCCACTTGCCTCCTTACAAACCTTTCCATCCCACAAACATTAAGGCTTTCATCCTAACCACCCACATATGCCAAATTAAGAGACAGGAAGCCAAAGCCATGCAGAGGCCTGTCAAGCCTGAAGTCTGTGACAAAAGGAAAAAAGGAATACAAGTACTTGCACTGTCACTGTCATTTGATCCAGGACCTTAACTGTCTTTCCCTCAAGGTCCACATTTAGCCTACTGCAATAGAAGGGAGAAAACAAAATTAATCAGCCTGGGGAAGCATTTAGATTCTGTGCAGTTTACCTTTTTCTAATTCAGACACTCTTTCTAGCAAGGCATTCAAGGCCGTCTCCGTCTTCTGCCCATGGGCTGATGTCTCATTATGAAGCAAAGACTTCTCATCCTCAAGCTCAGCCACCTTGCTCAGCAGTTGGCGTTCCAGGTCTCCGAGCCTCCGCTGAAGCATCTCCCGAAGGTCGCTGGGCAGCGCTGCGTACGACACGTTGGCTCGGAGCTGGTGCTGGAGAGGAAATCAGAAGAGAAAGAAAAAAAAAGTAATTTCTCAAACAAAAACTGTGACCTCCTGATTCAAAGGGAAGAAAGTCAGATCACCAAGTTCTCCAGCAAGGACAAAAGAGGCACTGCTTTTTAGCACTTGTCATGTTCAGTGCTTTTATCAGCACTGTAGTTAAACAGGTCCTGAAATAAAAGGGCACTTTTTTTAAAGGCTTCCAGCATTTCATATGAAGGAGTCTTCATACATGTAAGGTCAATAAAATCAACGTTGGGAGCCAGGTCTGATGCACTTCCATTAGTGTGTGTACATGTGACACATGAGTCAATTTTTGCTTTACTTACTGCAAGTGACATTGCCAGCACAAGTAAACAGGAAAACTATTATTTCCCTGTAAATAAAAAATTAAGTTCCACCTGTCATATTATTCTAGTGTAGTTCCTCTTCTACAAACCTAAAAAAATGCCTCAAAAAGACAGCAACAGTAATAAAGGAATGTTATACTAGCAGATCATTCAAAACTGTTCTTGAAAAACATTCCAGAGTGTTGTGCCCTTACAAACAGCCTTTAGGAAGCTGCTTGCCACAGTCACATCACTACTGCCTGTTTGGAGGACAGCAGGATGACATGCATGTAGCTCTCGCAGTGTAGAAAGCAAAACAACCTCAAGCACTTTTCCTGTGGGAATAAACTCTATAAAATATTTCCATGTGTGCCATTCAACCATGGGCACTGTCCAAAGGCTCCTGAAAACTACTTATCAATGGGCTTGGACCAAATGCCTTTTCATTTCACAGGCATACAGAATTAGGCTGGGATTTTTTATTATTATTCTAATAGATCACATCTTATCATCACAACCTGCACAACACAATCTCCTCATTACCACCGGTCAGTTCAGCACCATATGCCAAGTCCTGACTGCCCCATGAAGTGAAATTCCCAGAAAGAGAGATTTAGACATATTAATACAGAAACTAAGCTGTTAACAATCAGGAAAACCATCATCTCCTCACACACGGTGGGATAGAGGAGCCCTCTTTATCATTAAATCAAGGAGATAATAAAAAACCCAAGACAAGCCAACCAAGCAACTCACTCCCATGACTCGGTCAGTTTGGGGTTATCTCCGTAACGACTAAGCACACCCTGGTGCCCGCCCGCGGGCCAAAGCCGCCGCTCCACATCAAGCGGTCCCGAGTCTCCCCCCGCAGCCCGGCCCTACCTCCAGGCTCTCCAGCCGGTCCTTCAGGGTCTGCATGGTGCGGCTCAGCTGGTCGATGACCTGCGCCGGGTCCCGCGGCAGGTCGCCCATCGTGTCCTTGCCCTTGCCCAGCTCCTTCTTCCACGACCCCGTGCCGGACCTGCCGTCGGCGCCCTCGCAGCGGCTCAGCTTCCCCGTC